GATGTGGGCAGGCAAGTTGCATGGGCCAGGGTCTCAGAGAATCACCAGGGCAGGGTGAGTGGTGATAGCCGGTTGATGGAGACAGATATGGTGCTCGCCGGCCAGCTCTCTGGAGGGTGCAGCAAAGAAACAGTCGCTCTTCGGGCACTTCTGTCTGGGAGAAAGCTGCCTCAGGCTCTCTCCCTGAAGCCAGGCAATTCAGTTTCTCCCTTCTGTCCTGGTGCTTTTCCAGCTGCTGTCCCAGTACTGGAGCTCAGAGTGAGTGAGTCTGAGTAAGTGGTGCAAGGGCCCTTTAAGAGGAACGCCTGGGCCTCCAATAGCCCTGTGTCTTTCTCAGTCACAATCCCTGCTGGTTTTTACAGCCAAAAGTTATGGGGACTTCTCTTCCTGGCACTGGAACCTGGGCTGGGGGCCTGGTGTGGGGCTGGGACCTGCTCTCCCCAGGGGTACCTCCGCTGCCGAGATATCCCTGCTGATTTTCATCTGCCTCACGTGGGTGTGGGAAAGGCCCATTTATGTGTCTACCAGTCTCCGCGTGGCCTCTTTTGTCCTTTGTTGTAGGAATTCTGTCCAGCTAGATTTCAGGTGGTCCTGAATGATGGTTGTTCTGTAGGTTATTTGTGATTTTGATGTGGTTTGGGAAGATGTTAGTACCACGTGTACTTATGCCATTATCTTTAAAATATATATATATATATAGATAGATAGATAGATGATAGATTTCAGAGAGGAAGGGAGCGGGAGAGAGAGATAGAAACATCAATGACAAGAGAGAATAATTGACTGGCTGCCTCCTGGAGGCCCCACCCAGGGGTTCAAGCCCACAACCTGGGCATGTGCCCTGAGTGTTACCAAATCATCTGGGTGGAGGGGGGGGGGGCAAAGATGGTGGAGCAACCCAATCCCCATGCACCTCCAGGTCAATCGGCATCAAATGTCCCAAAGCATTTACCAGCTCCTGCATTTAAATACATTCAAGACTCAGGAGTAATCAGTAGGGCGGCCAGCTGATTCCGGTTTGTCCAGGACATTCCTGGCCTTAGCCCTGGAAGTCCCATGTACCAGGGAACCCCCCAGGCTCAGGTAAGCCAAGGTCACCAGTTACCTTAGCTCAGTGACTGCCCATTAGAATTTCACGGTAAGCTTTAAAAATTCCTGCTGCTGGGCCCGCCTCCAGAGGTGATGTTACACTGGGGCCAGGAGCAGCCAGGGCGTGAGGAGGTTGAAAAGTTCCTCTGAATTCTAATGCTGCCAGGGTTGAGAACTACTGCAGCTCCTTGCTTGTCATTACTCCTACTAAAAATATTTCTAAACCCAAACAAAGTCAATGATTCTGATGAAGTTGGACCCAGACCACACACCATATACAAAAATGGACTCAAAATGGGTCAACGGTCTAAATATAACTAAAACTATAAAAATCTTAGAAGGAAACATAGGGATAAATCTGCATGACCCTGGATTTGACAATGGATTTTTAGATAGAACTCTAAAAGCATGAACAACAACACTGAAAATAGATAAATTAGACGTTGTCAAAATTAAAGACTATTGTGTATCAAAAAACCATTATTTTTTTTTTAAGTTATTGGTTTTAGAGAGAGAAAGAAAGGGAGGGAGAGAGAGAGAAACATTGATTTGTTGTTTCACTTATTTATGCATTCATTGGTTGATTCTTGTATGTGCCCTGACTGGGGATTGAGCCTGTAACCTTGATGTATCAGGACAACACTCTAACCAACTGTGTGACCTGGCCAGGCCCAAAAGACATTCTTAAGAAAGTAAAAAGCCAATCTACAGAGGGAAAAGTATTTATAAATCTTACATCTGATAAGGGTCTTCTATCCAGAATATATAAAGAACTCTACGACTCAAAAGAAAAAGATAACCCACTAAAAAATGGGCAAAGGATATGAATATACATTTCTTTGAAAAAGATACACGATCACCAACAAGCGCACCAAAAATGCCATTAGCCACCAGGGAAGTGCAAATCAAATCCACAGTGACATAACACTTCATGCCCACTAGGATGGATATCAGAATAATTTAAAAAGCTGGAAAATAGCAACTGTTGGTGATGCGGAGAAACTGGGATCTTCACACATTGCTGATGGAAATGTAAAATGGTACAGCCACTATGGAAAGCAGTTTGGTGGTTCCTCAAAAAGATAAACATAGAGCTATCTTCTGACTCAGCAATTCCACTCCTAGGTACATACCCCAAAGAATTAAAAGTAGATACTCAAACAAATGCCAATGTTCATAGCAGCACTACTTACAAAAACCAGGCTGTGAAAGCAAACCAGAAGGTGGAAACAACCCAAGTGTCTGTCAGCAGATGAATGGATAAACAAAATGTGGTATATCCATGTAACAGAATATTACCCAGACATGGAAAAGGAATGAAGTACCAATATGAACTCCACCATGGATGAACCTCAAAAACATGTGAAGAGAAAGAATCCAGCTCAAAAGGTCACAATATTGGATGAATCCACCTATATAGAATATCCAGAACACAGTAAATTAATAGAGATAGAAAGCAGATTAGTGGTTGCCAGGGGCTGGAGAGGGCAGAATGGGGAGTGACTTCTTAACTTGCAGGGTGATGGAAAAGTTTAGGACTAAATAGAAGTGGTAGTTATACCACACTGTTAAAATAGTTGATGGTATGTTATCTGGATTTCACCTCAATAAAAAAAAATTAATGGTTTACTCTTATCTACAAAATACAATTGAGACTAAACTCGTTAGCGGTCAAAGTCCTTCACAGCTGATCTTTACTTCCTATAGCCTTATCTTTTATCACTCCCATGATGCTAACTGCCTGTTCATGGAATTCCACTGAAATCCCAGCGTCTCAAATACATTCTGCCTCGCCTTGAAAGCTCACCCACGTGGGGAGGGAGGTCTCCACCAGCAGTTCCAGCCACAGCCCTCTCTTGATTCTTGTAGCTCTTAACTTTACACCCTTGCACTCAAAGCCTGGTCCTGGGACCAGAAGCATTGCTGTCTCCTGGGAGCTTATCAGAGGGGCAGAACCTGGTGCCCAACCCCAGACCCACTGAGTCCAAATCTGCATTTTAACATGATCCTCTGGTGATTAAGTCTGAGAAGCACAGGCTTATACTAGTGGGCCTCAAATTAGGCTGTAGATCAGCATCACTTTGTGAGCTGTATTTATTTATAATATACTAGAGGCCCAGTGCACGGATTCATGCACCAGCGAGGTCCCTCAGCCTGGCCTGCGCCCTCTCGCGATCCAGGACCCCTCAGGGGATGTCGGACTGCCAGGGATTGGGCTGAAACCGGCAGTCCGACATCCCCCGAGAAATGTAGTAGTGCACGAAGCAGCAGGCAGCCGGGGAGGAGCCCAAGCCTAAGCCGGGCACCGCGCTACTCCCACGCATCCGGGCCCCACTTCGCCTGCTGCCGCTGCCACCGCCTAGAGGCTCACGCCACAGCGGCTCTGCTCAACAGCTGTGAGCCCGGCTTCTGGCTGAGCGGTGCTCCCACTGTGGCAGCGCACTGACCACCAGGGAGTAACTCCTGGGTTGTGTCTGCCCCCTGGTGGTCAGTGTGCATCATAGCTACTGGTGGACCGGTTGCTTAGGCTTTTATATATATAGATATTTTAAACAATATATACACGTGGTTAAATGACAAACTATATATATATATTTATTTAAGTAGTGAAAAAAATAAGTCTTCCTCCTACCTCAGTTGCTCAGATTTCTACCAGGATGCAATTTTTGTTCAAGTTTCTTGGATATTCTCCCCTGCTCTATGCATATGCAAGCAAACATGTCCATATTGGTTTCCCTCCCTCATTTTGTGATTACACAGATGTTAGCCCACTTACACACTGATTTTCACTTTTCACTCAACAGTATATGTTGAAGATCACTTAAGCACAGGTAGACTGCACAATATTGTTTTAATGGCTGCATAGGAGCCATCCTATAGTTGTATAGTTGTAGTATATATGTGTAATTTCTTTCTAGTACTATTAAGGACATTATAGTATGTTGTTCATTACAAAGCTCCGTTGCCTACCCTTTGTGAATATCTTTGAGTGTATGATGTGTCAGTGCATGAAAGATTTGCAGAAAGATAGGTACAGTTTAAACCAGGGATGGGCAAACTTTTTGACTCGAGGGCCACAATGGGTTCTTAAACTGGACTGGAGGGCCGGAACAAAAGCATGGATGGAGTGTTTGTGTGAACTAATATAAATTCAAAGTAAACATCATTACACAAAAGGGTACGGTCTTTTTTTTTTTTTTAGTTTTATTCATTCCAAACAGGCCAGATCCGGCCCGCGGGCCGTAGTTTGCCCACGGCTGGTTTAAACATTGTAAGAGATATTAAAATCTCCCCTAAAAAGCAGAACCAATTTACATTCTTGGGGAGCCTTAAAGAATTTTTCAGGCCCTGACTGGTTTGGCTCAGTGGATAGAGCGTCGGCCTGTGGACTGAAGGGTCCCAGGTTCGATTCCGGTCAAGGGCATGTACCTTGGTTGTGGGCACATCCCCAGTAGGGGGCGTGCAGGAGGCAGCTGATCAATGTTTCTCTCTCATTGATGTTTCTAACTCTCTATCCCTTTCCCTTCCTCTCTGTAAAAAAATCAATAAAATATATTTAAAAAAAGAAAAGAATTTTTCAGGCTACTTTTCACTTCAACTCTGTGGGTGGGGCCCAGAACGTATTTTATTTCTTTGGTGATTCTGATACTACAAGACTGTGGGATGGGCCGGGAACCAGGGCAGACCGTCTTGAACCCTGTACTGTGATTCCCCTTGAGCTGCCTCAGATTGCTCTTTATCATTTTATGTGACTGTTTAATCTCCTCCCCAAGGTGACAGGTTCCTAAGGACGGGCCTCAGGGATATTGCTTCCTTACATTCTTACCCGATACGGCACTATGTATGATGATGCTTGTTGATGATAAGGCTTTGAAGAATGTGAGTGGCTCATATAATGATTTTTTTTTTAGTTCCATGGACCAAACACAGAGAAGAATCCTGGGCAAGCCCCTTTCTATGCCCACCACCCAGCCCAAGAAGAAAAGGACTCCCATGATGTCTTTCTTTTCCAAGGTCTGACACAAAATATTGTGAACAAATGTCCCTTCCCAGCAGCCACTGTGTAACCTGTGTGCTGGCCTGGTCTGCACTAGTCCAGCTGGCTCCACTGAGGTTCCTTCTTCTGAAAAAATGTCTGATGATAGTTCTTTAAACACAGAGAGAATGTTTATAGAGTCACAAGATAAGTTGAGATGAATATAGCTTGCTGTGAAATTAATAATAAAAATATAGACTGAAAAATGAATACCCAGAGATAATGACGAGACGTGGTAATCACCCAAACACCAAATAAGGCTGTCGATCCCTTGTCCAGCTCCCCACCCCAGCCCATTACTAAGGATGGTGAAGAGCTGGCTTTTTCTTGGTCTCATCTGCATCTTGCATCGTCTTGGTTCTGACTCCAGGACGTGTTGCCATGTCCTGTGTTGTGCAGAACCCAGGGCCTTCCTGGTCTCAGGGCTCAGAGGCTCACTGCAGGGGTAACCCACCTCTTGATCTGCAGTCACTTCGATTTCAGTCCTTGAAGTACAGGTTTCTGCATTGGCCACAAAGCATTGCCCAATTTTTCATTTCTCTGCACTTATTTTCCTAATTGTAAATTGCTCAGATGTGTGCATTCTGGGGTGGGACATCCTGCAGGTGCCCTGAAACATTTATAGATGTGCATTGCTCTTGCATCAAAGGCTGTTGGGAAGTTGAGTAACATGAGTACTGAACATTGACCCTTGGATTTAGCCATATTGCGGCCTGGGGAAGGGGGCCCATCAACCTGACTGCAGAAGGTTCAAGGGAGAATGGAGAGGAAGTGGAGAAAGCAAGTATAGGCATGACTTTCAAGGTGTTTAGCTACAAAGTAGAGCAGAAAAAATGGCGGAGGAGGCAGGAGAGTCCAGGAAGCTCTTTTTTCTGAGATGGGAGGAATACAGAGAGCCTAGTCCGGCCAAAGGGCTCCCTACTCTCAGCTCACACCAGCTCTTCCCATCCCCTTTTCTTTTCAGTTCTATCAAGCCCTCCGCTGGCCTAGAGCACCTCTGTTCTTAATTCCCCCAAACCATCATCAACACCAGGTCTGCATTTTTAAAAAATATATTTTTATTGATTTCAGGGAGGAAGGGAGAGGTAGAGAGAGATATAAAAATCAATGATGAGAGAATCATTGATCAGTTGCCTCCTGCACGCCCCCTACTGGGAATCTAGCCTGTAACGGGGCATGTGCCCTGACTGGGAATGGAACCAAGCTTTATTCTACTGGAATAATGACTTCCTGGTTCATAGGTCAACATTCAACCACTGAGCCACACTGGCTGGGCTGCATTATTTTTTTTTTTTACCCCCTTTTCTCCCCTTCATCAATTTCTTCATTTTGTAGATCAAACTACATAAATATAGAGGGTGGGGCAAGAGTAGGATTAGTATAGTTGTGAGTATATGAAACAGAGTTCATTCTTGTATTGTTATTTATTAATTATTGTTACTATTTTTCATACAAATAACTATAAATCTACTTTGCTCCTACTTGTATTTACAGCAAAAAAGTCAGGTGTCTTCAGATGGAGAAAGAATGTGTAAAATTGAGCTGGCAACACAGGATTTTCTCTAGAGCTGTGGTCGGCAAACTGCGGCTCGAGAGCCACATGCGGCTCTTTGGCCCCTTGAGTGTGGCTCTTCCTAAGCCTTAGGAGTACCCTAATTAAGTTAATAACAATGTACCTACCTATATAGTTTAAATTTTAAAAATTTGGCTCTCAAAAGAAATTTCAATTGTTGTTGATATTTGGCTCTGTTGACTAATGAGTTTGTCGACCACTGCTCTAGAGGAAGGGGTTGGGGCTGGGGTTGGGGTTGGGTATGACTCTGAACACTCCCAAATCGATACATTCTGACTCACTACCCAGGTCTCTTGGAAACTGAGGTTCCAGAAGAGGGAGCATTTGAAGAATGTGCTTTACATCTTGGCAGAAAGAGCCCGGGACCCCAGTGCTAAAAAGCGTCACATGGCAGTGAGGGGCCTGGGAACCATGGCCTGTGAGAACCCTGACAAGGTAGGAAGGGAAGGCGGCCTGAAATCCCCAGGACTGGCTGTGGTCCCTCAGGTACTAGTTACTATTGCTGTGTAACAGATCACCACAGACCTAGCATTTATTAGCTTGCCGTTTCCTTGGGTCAGGAGTTCAGGTACAGCTTAGCTGGGTCCTCTGTCCAGGGTCTTGCAAGGCTGCAATCAAGGTGTGGGCCAGGTTACATTCCTTTCTGAAGCCGGGGGTCATCTTCCTAGCTTATAGGGCCATTGGGAGAATTCAATTCCTTCCAGTTGTAGGATACAGGTCCCTGCTTCTTTGCTGGCTGTCAGTTGGGGGCCACCCTTAGCTCCTAGAGGTGCCCACTCATAACATGGTAGCTTACTTCTTCAAGGTCAGCAAAGTCTCTGCTAAGGAGTCTTATGTAATGTAAGTAACCATGGGAATGACATCCCACGAGTGTTGTCGTCTATACTAATAAAAGGGTAATATGCTAATTAGACCAGACATCTTCTGGACATCCTTCTGGACAAAGCCACGATGGCAGGGGCAGAGGCAGAGGCGGTTAGGGGCAATCTGGCTGGCAGGAGAGGGCAGTTAGGGGCGATCAGGCTGGCAGGGGAGCAATTAGGGGCATCAGGCCAGCAGGCAGAGGCAGTTAGGGGTGATCAGGTAGGGAAGCAGGTGAGTGGTTAGGAGCCAGCGGTCCCGGATTGCGAGAGGGATGTCCAACTGCTGGTTTAGGCCTGATCCTGCAGGCGGACATCCCCTGAGGGGTCCTGGATTGGAGAGGGTGCAGGCTTGGCTGAGGGACCCCCCTCCCCCCATGCATGAATTTCATGCACTGGGCCTCTAGTCCTATATAATAAAGAGCTAATATGCTAATTAGACCAGATGGCAGAATGACCTTCTGGAACAACCTTCTGGAATGACCTTCTGGAATGACCAGTGGGCGAGGGGCGGAGCCATGAGGCAGCCAGGCAGCGAGGGCCAAGCCCCTTGCATTAATTTTGTGCACCGGGCCTCTAGTATTCAATAAGAGGCCAGATGCAAGTCACCAGTTCCTCCCACACTCAGGGGAAGGAGATTGAACAAGGACATACTCATTTGGGGTCAGCACACCTCAGTATTCTCAGCCTTGGGAAAGAGTTGCAGGCAGGATCAGCACACAGCTGGACATCACCGCTTTGGTAAATTCAAATTATTTTCTAATAATTTGTTCTTGTTTAGCATCTCTTCTTTTAGCATCTGTCAACTTCAGTGACCATTTCATCTTGTCCCCAGTATGCCTCAGAAACCTAGATTATCCAGTCCAACCCCCTCCTTGACACATCCTGCCTAACCTCATCCACCCATGGGCCATGCTCCAGATCACTCTGTGTTCTCCTTCTAAGACTGACTTGGGCTCTTGGGTCAGGTGAATGGAAGCATTTGTTATTTACTTATTTTTTTTGAAGCGTTTGTATTTTGTTGAGAGTTGTTGTGGTAGATCCTGAAGATAGTCCTAGATTACTGTACAATTAGAAGTGGAGTTGCTTTTCAATGCACGGGGAGCAATTCCTGTGCTACTAATGCTATTTAAACCTTGATAACAGGTGAGAAAGTATAAGAAAGTTGTCCTAGACATGCTGGTGCATGGATTGTATGATCCCATGAGTTCTGAAGTCATCCACGAGAGTCTGAAGACTCTGACCATCATCCTGGGCAAGATCCAAGGGAAAGGTTTGGGCTCCTTCTTCATAGACATCACTCTTCAGACCAGGACTCTACTAGATGACGTAAGTGAGATGACTCAGAAAAATTGCAGGTTATGAAAACCAAATTGGGGCTGGAAATGTGAGGCCTGGGTGTTGCTCAGGGAACAAGATCTCTATTATTCACTTATTTACTAACAAATCTTTTTTAAAAATTAAATTTATTGCGGTGACATTGCTTAACAAGATTACATAGGTTTCAAGTGTACATTTCTGTATATTGCATCGTGTGCTCACCACCCAAAGTCAAATCATCTTCTGTCACCATATGTTTGTCTCCCTTTACCCTTTATTACCCCTCACCCCCCTTCCCTCTAGTCACCACCAAACTGTTGTCTGTGTCTATGAGTTTCAGTTTTATATCCCACATATGAGAGAAATCATGTGGCTTTTAGTTTTTCCTGACTGACTTATTTCACTTCGCATAATATTCTCAAGGTCCATCCATGTTGTCACAAATGGCAGTATTTCATCCTTTCTTATGACTGAGTAGTATTCCATTGTATATATGTACCTGTCTTCTCTATCCAGTCATCTGCCAAAGGACACTGGTTGTTTCCATATCTTGGCCACCATGAATAATGCTACAATGAACTTAAGGATGTATATATCTTTGGGAATAAATGTTTTCATTTTTTTTCGGGTAGATATCCAGAAGAGGGATTACTGGGTCATATGGCAACTCTATTCTTAACTTTTTTGAGGAAGCTCCATACTGTTTTCCATAGTAGCTGTACCACTGTACATACCCACCAGCAGTGAATGAGGGTTCCTTTTTCTCCACACCCTCCCCGACACTTGTTATTACTTGTCTTGTTGATAACAGCCGTTCTAATAGGTGTGAGGTGGCATCTCATTGTAGTTTTGACCTGCATTTCCCTAATAGCTAGTGGAGTTAAGCATCATCTCTCTATATAAAAGGTTCATATGGTAAGGTCCGATGGTCTGATCGGTCGCTATGATGCACACTGACCACCAGGGAGCAGACACTCAACACAGGAGCTGCTGTGATGTGCACTGGCCATTTACAGAGAAATGGCACCGCGGACCTGGCGCCGACAAAGCAACACTTGGCTTCCCTAAAATGGGACACAGGCCCCGCCACCACCCTGGAGCGACACCCCACCAAATCACAGCCAACACTGCTGAGACCCCATGGCACAAAATGTGGCCCACAACCCAGCCCAGCTCAGAATCGGTGGCTGTGGGCGCCGGGTAATGACATCACGTAGCAACGCCCGCTTCCTCTCCCTAGCGACTGGCCTCCTTGCAGTTTCTTCAGCCCAGGAACATGACTTTAACCAAATGTCTGTGAAGTGTTTTCCCGTGCCTCACATCATTTGATCCTCACAGAAGTCCTGGAGTAGGTAGAGAGGAGACTTGGTGGAATCCTATTTTCTTTTCATTAGTTGGAAAACAGAGATTGAGAAAGCTTAGAAACTTGATCCGATTGAAAAGAAGTAAGAAATGGTGGAACTTGAAAATGACTTCAGGTTTTCTCACTGCGCAGAATATAGTCAAACACTGCTGCAGCTAAATATTTTACCCTTTGTTCTCCCTGTGTGATCTACAATAATAATCTGCTTCATGTTGATATTTACTGCTGTGTTGCTGACAATTACCTGAAAGAGAAGTTGGGGTGCTTCATTGGGCTGGAAAAAGTTTAGCTAAATCAGAAAGCAGGTCTGATTAAGCAAGTTGAATATATATATATATATATATATATATATATATATATATGAAGCTCTCGCTGGTGCCAATTGCACGCATGTGTTTCCATCTGCCATTGTCGATTGTGAATTTGATTGACACTTCTATTATAGAGAAAGGGCAAATAGTAAAATGAAAATATTTCTTCCAATTAATTTCCTTTCAATGTGCACAAATTCATGCACTGGGCCACTAGTTTCATATATCTGTTGGCCATTTGTATATTTTCTTGGGAGACATGTCTGGTCCTCTGCCCATTTAAAAAAAATGATATTTAGAGAGAGAGGAAGGAAGAGAGAGAGAGAAATACATCAATGTGAGAGAGAAACATTGATCAGTTGCCTGCCATAAGTGTCCTGACCGGGGATCAAGCCCACAACCTAGGTCTGAGCCCTAACTGAGAATACAACCTGCAACCTTTTGGCGTATGGGAGGATGCTCCAACCAACTGAACCACCAGGCTAGGGTGAGACCTACTTTTTAAAAATAAACCTTTTTTAAAATTTTGAACCATGTAAATGTATTTTATCTTTAAATCAATAAGTAGTGAAAAAAAAAGTTGGGAAGCTGAGAGTAGCGCTAGTGATCCCCAAGTCCAGTCCTCTTTCTTGTCTGCTGGTGAAGAGGCTCATTGAAGACTCAGGCCCTCTCCACCTCATCTCACCCCAGCCGACCAGTGCTGCGGCCTGGATCTGACGGCCCCCTCTAACATGCTGTGGTTTTCTCGGATGCAGTTGCCTTTTCCCACTGACCTGGGTTTTGTTGTTTTGCTCATGGGGAACCCGCAGGAGAATGACAGCCTGAGATACTCGGCCTTTGTCTTGTTTGGGCAATTGCCTGCCTTTGCTGGGCGGAAATGGAAGAAATTTTTCACCAATCAAGTTAAACAGACTCAAGATTCCCTCCTGATCCATTTACAGGACAGAAATCCCCAGGTTGCCAAGGTAAGTCCGTGACTCTCCCATCGACCGCAAAAGATCTCCCTGCCTTTCCTACAGGGAGTCCTGACGCTCCAGACTCTCAGCTCCTGCCAGTTCAGTCACAAACGCGTAGCAGCCCATCCACGTGAATCCTGGGAAAAGTGTCTCCTCCGAGGGTAACCTCGCTCTGAGCAAGGGTCCTTTCCCACGCGCTCCTGCCCACTGCCCGCTCCCAGCGCCCGGCAGTGCGAGATGAGTTCAGGTTAATGCAGGGTGGGGCAGAGAGGCTCAGGTTTAAGCCACGGGCAGTCCCCATAATGAGACATTTATTCATGCCTGCTAGCTTTTGTCACGGCACCTAGTATAGACTTCCTACCTCGGGCTTCTCAATTCCCTGTGGAACTTGTGTTTCATTCTTGGAGAAAATGTGTCCTAACAGCATTGAATCAGCCGTGGGGATGCTTTGGAGTGGGACAGGGCGAGTGTGTCAAAACCACTGGGAGCAAAGGGTCCCACAAAAACACTTTTCTTCTGAGAGAGAGGTGGGTGGGGCGGGGGGGGGGGGAGGGGAGAAATATTAGGTGGGTTAAATTTAGGAATCCAGTACCACTTTTGATGGGACAATAACAAAGGCTGTGGTAAACTACAAAGCTATGCCCTTCCCACCAACCCCAAATGATACACATGGTCGTTTTATAAGCATAAATCCTTTAAGGTTCAAGATTTCACACTTCCTGGAAGTCACTTTCACATTCTCAGGGACCCCCAGACCTGACTGGGTGCCATCCTCTTCCTTGGTCGGGATTATAGAATTCTCTAGGAAAGTGTAAGATTGTCTAACCACGATGCTGTAGACCTGACACTAATACAAAAGAACATTGAATGTACACTGGGATTGAAAAGATAAAAAGAATTTCCCTAATATTTTGGGCAGTGAGACGGGAATCTTCTCTTTCTCAGGCTTGCAAAACCACATTCCGAGCCTGTTCTCCCTACCTGAGGCAAAGGAAGGAGAGCAGCTTCCAGAGTGAGGACGATCAAAGGAACCCCAAGCTCTGCAGGCAGCTGGTGAGTGTGTGTGTGTGTGTGTGAGGGGGAGGGGGGGCAGGAGAGAAGCCTCCCACAGGTCCCTGCTGCCCGGTGTTAATGCAGAAGGTGGCCGGGCACACCAGGAGTTTGCCCCCCATCAAGCACTCACATTCCGATTGTAATTGCCCCATAATGCAATGTAAGTGACAAAACGCCTGGAAGATTCTACACAAGCTCTATTGGCAGTTCCCGTCCAGGTCATTGGATGGACACGGGCCATGACGCCTCGGGAATCTGCAGGTCGCTTGTGCCCGTGGTCTGCACTGGACGCGGCCTACTCATTCTGTAGTGGGGGAGGTTTGGTAACGCCCTACCTCACGGGGACCTTTGCTGATTTCTTTCAGAGCCTCTACCATCCCGAGCTCCTGCAGTACTTCTACGCAAATAAGATTCTGTAAACGCAGAGCCGAGGGGAAATGCTTCCATGTGAGCAGATTGCAGGAGGGCTGATCTCTCCCTCTCCTAGCTCTTCAGATGCTCCTGCCGGCCTCTTGCAATTGCGATAGAAAAGGGGGTGTTGGGAGAGCGGCTGATGGCAAAGAGAATACTGTGGTATTGTATGATGATGTCCAAAGCAAAGCTGAAGGCTTTCCCATGGCCGTTTCTCCCCTTGCAAATTTGATGAGAAAGTCCATACTTTCTTTAATGCATTTAAAGTTTATGTTGATTCAGTGCTTATTTCTCAGCTTTTTACTTAAGTTCAATGCTATCACATCATCTTTTTTTCTTTTTTAAATATATTTTTTGCCGGGAGCCGGTCCATGCTTGCTGTTTCAAGGGACCTGGCATATATGGCATACTGTTTTTAATATGTTTGCTCACCTTCTTGGCACTATGTGTTTTAACCAAGGTCTCTGAGAAAGGTTGTTTCCCCAGGTAGGAATTTTCCCCTGAAGTTAGGGAGGGAATAAAACCTCTTAACTAAGTGCCAGGCGGGTAATTAATCACTTTAACTATGAACAATCATGCTTAAGCTACATAATCTTTACTCCCTGGAATGGAGATAAGAAACGCCCTAACCTTTGTAATAGAGATTGATAGGATTGGAATCAACTGGTATAAATACAGATGTAAGAACTCAGAACTTAGAACACAGAACTTAGAAGAAGACAGAGCCTAGGCACAGAACCTACACAGAACGTTCTCTAGAGACAGAAGAACTTCGCTGGAGAGAACATGGCAAAAGATCCTGGACAGAAACTGGCCTCAGAACCTAGAGACAGAACCTAGCCAGAGAACATGGCAAAAGATCCTGGACTGAACCTGACTACAGAAATTGGCAAGAGAACCAGACTAGAACCTGGTGACTGAACCTGGCTGGAGAACCTGGAGAACCTAGCAAGACAACTGGACACCGAACCTGGCAGGAGATCCAAAGCAGAACCTCTCTGGAAATCCAGACCAGAACTTGGCTGGAGATCCTGGCTAGAGGTCCTGGCTAGGCTGCTGATCAACTGAACGCTGCCTCCATGTGACTCCTTCTTCGCCGACTCCGTCCACGCCTTTGGGAACCCCTGGACCTGCTGGGGCAAGACCCCGGCAATTTTTATTGATTCCAGAGAGGAAGGAAGAGAGACAGAAACATTCATGATGAGAGAGAGTCGTTGATCGACGCCCCACACTGGGGACTGAGCCGCAAGCCGGGCATGTGCCCTGACTGGGAATAGAGCCGTGAGCTCCTGGTTCATAGGTCGATGCTCAAACACTGAGCCAGCCGGTCAGGCAGATCATCTGTTTTTAATTTTATTTCAATTTCTGAGGCTCAGAAGAATAATGATTACTTTAAGTGTTTTTTAAATCTGCTATTGATGCTTTGCTATTTGCTAATGATATCTTTTCTTGGTAAAACCTACTTAAAGTTGGTCAAAGTACTGAGAAGGTGGTTTGGAGCTTCTCCTAATCTCCAACAGCCATTGCCTCCAAGATCATTCCAAACAAGAACTAATCAAGGGAAAACAATCTATAAAGCATGTGTTGTAAAACCTCAGGCTGATGGTACAATAGAGAATACTAAGTAACATTTACTGAGAATGTTCATGCTAAATGCTGTGCAAGTACTATTTAATACAACAGCATTGTGGGAAAGGTACTGTGAGTATCCTCATTTTATAGATAGAAAAGCAAGGTGGGGGACATTAAGTAACTTCCTGAGATGACCCAGTAAACGATGGAGCCAGAATTCAAACGCATACGGTCTGACTTTTGGAGCCAACATTCTACCACCACGCGGTACCGCCTTGCTAGGGAATAATTGATGGATGGTAAGAAATGTAAAAAAAAATAAAGTTAAAAAGAAAAACTCCTCAGCTCCTGCTCTTTAACTCACTTAACTTTGCTTTTTTTATGTACTAAAGTATACATTTTTATTAATTTAATTTGTGGGCTAAGTGTGTATTTTTTATTAATTACCTATTAGCTATTATGTCAATTTTTTGGTGATCAATCCTAGTTCCATGAGAAGTCACAGCACTCTTATAAAACGTTTCAAGAAAATTCTCTTAGTCCCTCCCATCTCACCTCCAACCAGATTGATCCCAGAGCTTCTCCTATAGAAATTCTGTTATTACCATTGAACTTGGCATTCAGGGCATACCCTAGACTATGTCCATTTTGAAAATGGAAAACACAAGAGGGTCATAAATGCTACAGAGGGACCTTGATGTCATCCTTAGAACCAAGAACTCAATTTTCTGCCCCAGCTCTCCAGAGATAGGACCGTATAACACAGATGAGGGGTGAGGTGTGCCCCAGGAGAGAGAAGGATGACAGAAGGGGTAGGAGGAGGCAGGTATGAATGGGTTTTCTTTCTTCTTATTTTGCAGCTGGGTATAAATCTGGCTCTGCCACTTACCAGTGTGACTTTGGGTAATTTAGCCCACCAAGCCTCAGTTTGCTGATCTGTGAAATGGGCATAATAACCCATCTCATAGATTTGCTGTGCTACAAGAATTCAATTAGGTAACACTGAGCTCTTGGCACAGTACTTGGCACATGGAAGGTGCTCAGGAAATGTTAATTCTGCTCCTGACCTCCAATAGGCTCTTCCAATATTGTTTCTTCTCTTCTTGTAGCTGCGTAAGTCTTCAGAGATCTCCATTCTTGCCGTCTGGGGATTTGAGTATTATCTTGGTTCTCCCCAATGAATGACTGTAGTACTAAGGGCAGCCCTGCATCCTGCTCCTCACCAGAACCCCAAGAGTATAGCTTTGACCTTTACCCACCATGGGTGTTTAAGAAAGATTGGTTGAATTTATTGGATTGCAAGTAAATGCTGGTGCCTTGACCAAGCGTGAATCTGCCACCTCCTGGATTTTGGAATGGCTCAACACATCTAAGTAAGTATGAGGGTCATAACTGAATGAGCGTAGCAGGTCGTTCTTTCCACTGCGCTCTTGTAGGGGTGTTGTTAATGATCACCCTGTTTTCCATTGATTTTTGGAGAGAGTGGAAAGGAGGGGGAGAGACAGACAGAGAAACACCAATATGAGAAAGACACATTGATTGGTTACCTCTTGCATGAGCCCATGAGCCCCGACCAGGGCCAGCCGGGGTTGGAGTTTGCAACCGAGGTGCATGCCCTTGACCGAAATTGAACCTGGGACCCTTCAGTCCACAGGCTGCCGCTCTATCCGCTGAGCCAAACCAGCTAATGCAGGAGCAGTGCCTTTTATGCTCCTAAGATGGCTCATGAACTCTATTCTGTCCTCACAGTCCCAACAGCTCCGCTAATAATTCTATGCTCTATCTTTTCCGTGATCTTTTGTTAATAATTAATGTCCCACCTTCTGTTTTCAAGTGTGACTGCTATAATCATGTCCCTTTCAAGCTAATGAATTCCTGCAGCAATGTGCAAATGTTAACCAGGTAACGGCCCAAGGGTCCCTCTGCAAGAAGAACATGTTCCTGAGAAACGTAGATCAGACAGTTAACATGTGACTTCCTAAGTCACGCTGCTGGAGGCACATGCCTCTGCCCTGACAAAAATGCCGCCCGAAATGCAAAGCTTTTCAACATCGTGCATTGACCGCATCAGCAGATGCAGCCACCGAGGGGAGAAGCCCACCTCCCGACTGTGACGTCACGTGTGCTGGAAGGACACACGATGTGGTGTAGAAAACCGGGCTTTGCGCCCTGGCATTAGCTCTTAACTTGCTGGTTATCTTCACAGCCTCAGTTTTTTCATCTGCAAAATGGGAGGGAACCCCACTACGCAGTATATGCTGGTGATCAAATGAGACAGACTGTGTAAACTGTAAAATGTTACCCCAAGAAATGGGGCATTCTTATTTACGTGGCAGCTACTCATTATTGGAGCCTGTTTGTACAGGGGAAGGGTGAAAAGAATGAAATGCAGTATTGACGCAGACCCCAATTAAAAGCCACAATCCATCTGTGAGAACCTTCGAAAGGGAAAGATAGCAGAATTAGGGACCACGCATTGGTTGACACCAGGCTGCTTCTCTAGATAACACATAACCCGGTCACAGTGTGAACTAGGCTCCAGTTTACAAGCTGAACATGCATCTATTTTGTGCAATTTATTTACACCCAAACTTTCTCAATATGATGGGAAGCGTAACCTTCAGAATTTGTGGGAAGCCTGGCAGCCTTCCTTCGGATTTTTCTAATATTGGAATCAAATTTAACTGAAACTGTTTATGTCTTTGTTAGGGAAAAGTGAATGTTTTGGTGTGTCTGGCTTTAAACCTGCTAGAAATACAGCTCATTTACTGGACCCTCAGAAGCCCGACAAGAGTGAACCAGGGAACCTGCACAATGTGCTGAATCCTGGGTTCAATTAATTCAAAGCTAGTGAGCTCACTCCACAATGCCAGCAAACAAATGCAATTTCCGAAACAAAAAGTTTATGACTTAAGGGGACAAACACAATTTCTTGTCTTAGGCATGATTTACATGTTTAAATGGCTAACTGACATTATGTGTGTTGCTTCTCAGTAACTAGAAGTAACCAAAGAAAGGATTTGATTATGAAGACTAGAGGCCCGGTGCACGAAATTCAGATCAGTCCCTCAGCCTGGCCTGCACCCTCTCGCAGTCCGGGAGCCCTGGGGGGATGTCCCACTAGGCCATCAGTCACACATCCTTAGCATTGCCACGGAAGCGGGAGAGGCTCCCACCACCGCCACTGTGCTCGCCAGCCGTGGGCCCAGCTTCTGGCTGAGTGGTGCTCCTCCTCTGGGAGCGCCCTGACCACCAGGGGGCAGCTCCTGTGTTGAGTGTCTGCCCCCCTGGTGGTCATTGCACATCGTAATGACTGGTCATTCCACCATTCGGTCATTTGCATATTAGCCTTTTATTATGTAGGACAATGGAATATGCACAAGTAAATCTGTTTAATCTGCAAAGACCTTTGGCCTACCTGGCTCTGTGTTTAGACCTGGACCTAGCTACATATTGATTATCCTCCTTGCTCTCACCTTTTCCAAGAAAAGGAATGGCTGGCCCAGCATGTTGGCTTTTATTTATTTTATTTTTAAAAAAATATATTTTATTGATTTTTTACAGAGAGGAAGGGAGAGGGATAGAGAGTTAGAAACATCTATCAGCTGCCTCCCACACACTCCCCACTGGGAATGTGCCCACAACCAAGATACATGTCCTTGACCGGAATCAAACCTGGGACCCTTGAGTCCACAGGCTGACGCTCTATCCACTGAACCAAACCAGTTAGGGTGCATGTTGGCTTTTTTAAAAAATATATATTTTTATTTATTTCAGAGAGGA